CTTGTGGCCAGCGTGGCTGCTTGATCAGGATTGATCTAACGGCTACCCAAGCGGCGGCTCGCGCGCGCATCAGGCGGTTGAAGGTAAGATTTTCCCATAGTATTATCTGTGAGCGGATCATATCACAAAAAAGTTCTATAGAAGATCCCAACCCTAACAATCAGATAGAGTCTGCCCCCTGCTTGGCTTTCGAGGATTTTGTGCTCTTTTTGTTGCCTTGATGTGTTTGTTGGAGAGTCTATTTGGTGTCCGTCCTTTTGTCGTTGGATTGGGGCCTTGAAACTTTTGTGTCTGCTTTGGACCTGATTTTTTCCTAATTAATTGGATGAAGACAGAACTATTGTTGGTTGCTTGGTACCTTGACCAAAGTTTAACCCCACTGTACATGTGTACGGCTTTGTGGGCTCACAAAAGAATTGGCTTTTTTTTCCTAAGCGGAGGCAAAAGATTTGCCTCATCCACTAATTAAGCAGAAGAGAATTGCTCGATTAATTAACGGAAACCAGGCGAAAACCGTCACAAACCGCTTAAGTGCACACTTCGATATCCCACACACACCTTTAGAAAGAGTGCCTCGTCGAGCTAGCACACAGGCGTCATCGTCATCAATTCTCCCCCAACAGACGACATCGCCATCTCTAATCCTCGAGCAAGCGACTCCGACTTTGCCGTGGACGAACATCGACCCAACTCTCACTGCAGAGACTGTATAGAAGCACATGAAGATCCATGCTAGAACTCAGCCACCCGCGTCGAGGGCAGCACAGCTCCGACTCTAAAGAGAAGATCCGAAGGAGAACCATACAAGATTGGCGCCGTGGAAGACTAGCGAACGGACTACCTACTGCCTGTCATCGTTGCCACAGGGCCACAGCTCTGACTTCGCGACAACAAACAAATCGAGGTAATCCCACGAGCACGTTAGAGAAGAGTCGACAACCACTGCAATGCCACCGACTTCACTTGCTCCATCATCGTTGCCACATAAGTGCTAGAGCTTGAATTGAAGCATGAAGGGAAGTGCTGATCAATGGGAGCGATCTTGTAAAGTTTCCTAAGACTAAGCGCCTCTTCGATCCAGCCCGCACAAAAAAACGCCTCTTTGATCCATAGGAAAAATAGAGGACGATCATAGGAATAGCACATTTTCCTATGGCAGCACTATTCATTTGTTTGATTCGAAGAAATGGATCATAGAAAATATAGATGGTATTTTTCTGACCCCAAGCCATACGCGCGCGTGTGGTTTGTGTCCGAGAAAGGGTTTTCCCCCGTTTTGTATTACAAAGCAACCACCACGATACAGCCAACGATAGGTGCTGGGGCGGAAGCAGCACAGTCACGCTCAAAAAAACGGAAAAAAAAAACAAAAAATAAATAAATGTCAAGAACGGCGGATCAACAAAAAACGAAGAAGTCTCGCGACCGTTGCGCGCACCGGAGAACTCCCTGTTGCCCCGTTTGCCGTCTTCGTGTTGCAGTCTGCTTGCTATCCAGTAGAAGAACCTCAATCGATGCCGCATGCATCGCTAGCCCGCGGTAGGTCAGATTTGACTCCACCGGACCGCAACAACTTCGGTCGCGAGGGGCTGCTTTTACCAACGTGTGCCCGTTGCCAACCGGTGGGTGTACTAGTTTCAGATGGAGGACTGTCTGTCCGCTCCAGCGAAAACTGTTCTTCACTCCCAGCACACGATTCCAGATTCCTGGAATAAAAAAGGAGACCGACTCTTATCTTATCTGTCGCCAAAAGAAAAGGAAAAAGAAAGACTTACCTTATCCACTTCCATTAAACTAGAGTTGTTCATCGCACTGTTGGATAGATTTCAGATCACATTCAAGTTTGTATTGCAAAATATCACTTTCGTGCGTGTATGCATCTTAATTTACCTCCTGGCCTACCCACCTACCTGGCTGGATGGATGGCTTCGCTCTTTCCACTGCTAAAATTGCATCAAGCGTATCTTAAGTGCTCATCCTTTTGTGTGCAGTAAACAAGCGTATCTTAAGTACAGAGTGCACAGCTTTGTTTGTGTTGCAATCCGTATCATGGTATCTTGGGATCCTATCTGAAGAGAATTAGTAGGACTGATGATAAGCTAGATCTTGCAATGTTTACAATAGTATTTTCAAGGCGCAATCCCGCAAGCGTTTTTCTTTAGAGCATCCCACTACAATTATGTCAGCTTCGGGGTGAAAACCTAGGCCTGACCCATTGGTCATACCTGGCAATGACGATGTTTTAACATCATTATCTTGTTGAAGGCATTGCTCGGATATGTTCGGATGGTTCTTCAGGATGAAAATCTAGACTCTGGCCTTTGTGGTTGGATCCGGTGACGATGGCGCTCGAGCGTCGCTACCTTCTTGAAGGCATTGCTGTTGAAGAACCTCGTTGTCCTTGTGGCGTCATGAGATGGTTGGTGCGGATATGGTCATTGTTGTAGTATGTTGATCGCAGATTTGATCACTTTGAAATTTTTTCTTTTTACTCGCTTAGGCATAGCATTGGTCTTGTATAATTTTGCTATTTGCCGGCGTTTTCTTTTTGCGTTTGTTGGTGTTGACTGTGTGCATCCTAACTATGCAGAGGCCGAATGTGTGCTCGTTATGTTTGTATCCACTTGATGCTCCATTTTAAGCCAATAAAAGCCATCCTTTATCGAAAAAACCAATTCTGTGAGCGGATCATAAGTCCTACCCAAGATCCTAATCCTAACAATCTGACAGTCTAGCCCTTTTCTTGGCTTGGAGCCTCCATACCCCAAACATTCGGGTGCTTAAACTTTGCAGAATTCAGAAGAACAATAGATTCTTCGGAATGTCATCTATTCATAAATGGAGACCAAAAGCACTGGGGCATGACCAACAAAACGTCTCCTTCTCTTAGCAAAACCACTTGAGATGATTGATGTCTTCAGAGAGGGCGCAACAAGGAGCATGCCTTTTCATAAGAGTTTTTTTTCCAGGGCATGCCTTTTCTTAGTCTAACGATGATATTTTGGCTTCCCCTAGTTGCATATCTTCAGGTTAAATTTTAGTCACCACAAGATTCTTTAGGCGTGCAAAGATAAATTGTTCAAGACAATAATATTAAAGCGATACCCAACGTATAGCATGTTTTATCGTCGTCTTTAGATGATGTAACATGTAAGTGGAGGCTAAGAAAAAAAGGTGCCGTCTCAACCATCACATACTGCCCT